TTAGCACCTTCACCCGCCAGTTCTTTCAGGACCCACGGATGGATCTCATCAGGTCCCATGGACTTGTGCACCTTCAGGTGCCTTCGATAGTCTCGAACCTGATGTTCTCCCACAGTGGGTGGCTCTTCATTCTCCCAGTCCCTGCCTTTGCCTTCTGCAGCTTCAGCACTTGCTGGTGAAGACTGAGGCAAAAAAGTAATTGAGCACCTCTGCCTTATCCGTATCCCGGGTAACCAGGACTCCTGTTTCCTTCCAGAGAGGGCCCACATTTTCTCTTGTCTTCCTTTTATCCCCGATGTACCTATAGAATCTTTTCCTGTTGCCCTTGATGTCCCCAGCCAGATTTAATTCTATCAGGGCTTTAGCTTTCCTAACCTGATCCTTGGCTGCTCGGACAATTTCTCTGTGTTCCTCCCAGGCTACCTGTCCTTGCTTCCACCCTCTGTAGGCTTCCTTTTTGTGTTTGAGTTTGTCCAGGAGCTCCTTGTTCATCCATGCAGGCCTCATGGTGGTTTTGCCTGACTTCCTCTTTGTTGGCATGCATCACTCCTGAGCATGGAGGAGGTGATCCTTGAATATTAACCAGCTTTCTTGGGCCCCTCTTCCCTCCAGGACTTCGTCCCATGCTACTCCGCCAAGCAGATCCCTAGAGAGGCCAAAGTCTGCCCTCCTGAAGTCCAGGGTAGTGGGCTTGCTGTGCACCCTCCTCAGTGCCCCAAGGATCTTGAACTCCACCATTTTGTGGTCGCTACAGCCAAGGCTGCCCTTGAGTTTCACATTTCCCACCAGCCCCTCCTTGTTGGTGAGAACAAGTACCAGCATAGCACCTCCCCTCGTTGGCTCCTCATATTTCATTACGTTTTTCAATTTAAGATTTAAAACACCTAAACAAAACAGCTTTCTGAACATGAATTAGCGAGGTACAGTTAGAAGCATGCAAGTACACCAAGGACTTCTAAAAATGCGGTTTAGGTTACATTTTCAGTAACTGAATCATCTACAGCAAAATGAAGAAGTGTAATGTTCCTTAGTTTCTTATCAAAAAAAGTAATCTCACAAGCTTTTCATGCTCTTTATCTTCTTTAACTGTCTTCCCACTGACATATTATAGGAGATAACCTATATTGGCATATAACCAAAAGACTAGGGCTTAAATTATAAAAAAATTAGACTTCTATTATTTATGTTTATTCTAAAGAACAGCATAGAAGAGTTTTAATAAAAAATACTTCAAAATATATCATCACAACATACATCTCAAAAATCAAAACATCTTTATGTATTGCTGTTATAAAATGTAACATTACCACAAGTGATTAAAAAAATATGTTATATTTCTTCCATTATGCTTTATATCTTTCTCCGAGTCAAGTAACTTACAAAGGTATATAATTTGCCACCAGTTACGGTGTTCTCCACAAGAGCAGAGGATAGAACAAAACACCTCTCAAACTGAAAAAGAAGAAAAACCCAGCAAACAACCCCTCCAATCCACCTTGCTAAAGCATTATGTGTACCAGCACATTAAACAAAAACTTTGCGTTTTTTTATTCAAAGAGATATCAAGTTGACAGCCTCCCTCTAATATGTCAAGGGACTACTGTACTATCTTTATTGGGGGGAAGAAAACGTAAGCCATAGCACCACTACCAACAATAATTCACATTGTATTTTGAACAGTATTTATCAAGCATAGTCATTCCTTCTATATTGGCATGTAACATCAGCATTAATAACCTAACATGTAATAAAATGAGAAATCATTTTTTACATACCAAGCCTGGTTTACCGAGCACTGGAAGCATTACTGTGATAAGTGGTGTAATTTTTACCAAAATAGTTTAGTGTAACACCTTGTACAGAATGAACTGTAGCTGTATGAAGATTATATCCTCACTAGGTAAGAAAAAGCTATCACTGTTCACGCACTATCTTTTTTACAACTAGAATTCTGCCCACACATACAGGAATTGTACTATAGTTAATTATGCACAAGTTAACTGTATGACCTCACTTTCTAGGAGACATACACATGGACCAGGGTAACTGCAGAAATACAGAACAAAGGCTGTTCCTCCACAAAATACAGGTAAAACAGAATAGCACTGACAATAAAACTCTATTTTG